ATGTTTAGATTGTAATAAAGTTTTTTGAGGTAATAAGGGTTTAGTAATAGAAATCTGGCTAATTAGCCCATAGCTGGGGAAGAAGACGTTGATTCATACCCTTCTCGAGGCTATTTGTGCGTAAGTGAATATAAAGAACCTAATGGATATTGGAACTCGGTTCTCCGATTAACAATGAATAGTAAATATGGGGTCTAGTTAGTATTTTCATAGAGACAATGAGGTATTATGGTGAATGTAGTAAGAAAGGTACGTATGAATGTGTTGTTTTGGTGTAAGGAATAGTGTTTGTATGAGTGTGTCAGTGTTTGTGGCTAGCTAAGTTATAGTTAAGACAGAAGAAGACCGTCCTTTCCCCATGCCCCCCATCGGTCTTGTGCCACATTTCTGTGTATTAAACAGAATAAATATTGCTCTCCGATTAACAATCCAGAGCCGTTATCCATTACAACACCTGCACATTCAAGCTCACAGAACCTGATATTCCCAAAGGGGAATTAGAGATGTCAGAAGCGAACCAGTACAGGAAAGATTCATTAGTGACGCGTTTGATTCCAAGAAGGAATACTTTTCAAACAAATAACATTTTTATTGATAGAATCAATCTCATGTATACAATAATTTTACCAGTGAGGACCACCATTCCCTGTACACAGGGTCGACTCATCCATATTTCCTTCATATTCCTTTGGTAAGAAGTAAGTTTCACTCAGACAGCTTCTTCCCCAGAACTCTCATTTTGTGGAACAGACTCCCGAGAGGATGCTCCCTCAATCACTACAAGCTTAACTTCTTCAAGTCAACCATTATCTATCTTACATATCCACATAATGAGCACATCCTACTTGCTTCTTTTATGCCTTTACAACAGCCTCATTCGTTGAAACTCTACCCTGAGTGGCTCTTGGTGGGGAAGTCACATTGATTTTATTAATAAAAATGTTATTTGTCTGAGCAATTTCATTCCCGGAACAAAACGCGTCACAATTTTTTTTTTTTACATCGTGTCATCTATTTTCCCGCTATTATTCGGTCATATCTATTTTAAAACCATAAATGCAGTGTTTATTTTTCGAATGATATCAGAGAGAACACTACAAATTGAGAAGGATGTACGCTCATGTTTTATAGATTACGCAAAAGCATTTGACAAGGTACGACACAAGGATCTATTTAAACTGTTAGGAAAACTTGATCTACCTGGAAAGGATGTTAGAATAATCCAAAGCTTATAGTGGGACCAAATCGTCTGCATGCGGATAGATAGACGAGTTGAGTAGGTACACGGTTGTGATGTAAGTTCTGGTGAGACACAACACTTAACTCGACAGTGTCAGTCGTGATTGTAGTATTCGATACTCAGGCAAGTCACTGCTATAGTATTATCTTCTACCTCTAACCAATTACCCAGGACTACTTATCATGAACTTTTGAGTGGTACCCTCCTATGGAACCCAATTGGCGACAAACGATCAGTTGGAAGACCTGATCACACCTACATTGACCAACTTGGATGCATTCTGGAGGACCTGCCGACAGCGATGTCTGGCAAAGATGATTGGAAGGTCAGGAGTATCCGAGAATTATCAACGACCTGATGATAATGACTTATCATGAATGAATCAGTCCATTCGTGATATTAAAGAGGGTAAATGGCTCTTACCACAATATAGACAAAAATTGATAGTAATATGTCTTCTCTTTCGCTTTGTTCAATCTCTGCAGCGGCGCCATCCTAAGGGTGCTGGGGAGTCTACCAGGATTTATTATTGAGGAGGGGGTAATCTTAACATTTTCAGATACTCAGATGACAATGTGTTGGTGGCAGACACAGAAGGAAAACCGGAGGACCTTCGAGACAAGATAGCCAAGGAAAGCGAGACAGTTAGCTATCAACTGCAAGAAGACGGAAGGTATAGCTGTCCACAAAAGAAAAATGAGCTACAAAATAGAAAATATCAGCAAGTACAGAAGTGTTTTTAACAGAGGATGGAAACCGCGATACTGAAATCCCAGCGCTCATTGGATTAACATAAGTTGCTTTCCAAAAGCTAAGCAAAGTATTAAGAAACAGGAAAATTTCGTTAGAAACAAAGCAAAGAGTCCTAAATCGTTATGTAATATCAATCGTCTTGTATGGCAGTGAATGCTGGACAATCTCACCACAGAAGAAGAGAAATCTGGAGGTAATAGAAATGTGGTTCTACAGCAAAATCTACAGCAAAAAACTTAAGATTTTACGAAATGAAAGATTTCATTTTTAATGATCATTACCTTAAAGGTATGAACTAGCTTTTATCTTAATGTTAAATATGAATTTAAATAATTAGGTGCTACTTTTTATCCAAATACACACAAATATTTTTAAAAATACTAATTTCAATAAAGAAATAAGAAAATTTTTAACTTTAAATTTAGATTTAGTAATTTAATCACTTGAAATTCAGTCCTATTCTACCTTATAATACTTCTAATTGAAATACTTAAAGTATTGCTTGTTACTATTTATACTTGTACTTTTTCTGCCAAATGTCCGTCGAACAAATGTATTGCTTTTCGGAACAATCCTCTTTGTAGTGTACACAGTGATTCCAGCGCACTAAACATTGTTCATCTTCTCAATCGGTTTTTAAACATAGTGGTCTTTCATAATCTTGTCTTGGACCTGAAGGACGCACACCAAAAAACGAGACGAAACATTTGGAGGGTCTCTGTAGCAGGTTTACTAAATTTCACGCAATGAAAGATGCGTCGAGTTTGTCAATCATCAAAGATTGTGTCACTATTTTAATAACCCACATAACTTACGGCCAAGTCCCGTTAAAAAACCGGTTCCCGTACGATCATTGAAATTAAACCTGGCCAGTACGTACACTCTTGTGTAAGTTAATTGAAACCAAACGAATAATTCGGTTACTATTTACTTTTTTCGTATTGTTTCAACGAAACATGCTAGTACCTCGTATGTCCATTTGACGAAGTATTTCCTTGCAGTCTGATCACAAATTCTCGATCGGATTTAAATCAGGAGAATTTCCGGGCCAATCTATTGTACTATTTGCTCACTGGTATGCCTTGCCAGTGTCTTCGTAAAGCGTTATAATTTTCGTATGCTTCTTTGGCGTAACGTCCATCACAGACAATGGCTATAGGACAACCAATCGACAGTTGAGATAATAGTACATGGGCGTGAGGAAAATCTGATGCAATCACAGATGACGCAATATTTTTCAAGTCCAAACAAATTTCATCATGCACCTCGAAAATAGATTCATATTATTGCACACTACTATAAATGACCTAATCAGAGGAAAAAATAGAAATCGATAACAGCCTGCCACCCCAGAGGGTTTAACACTGACCGTATGGTGAAAGAAAGGAAACTAAAGTGGTTGTTTCAATTAATTTTGCACAAGGGTGTATACTGAATATATATATATATATATATATATATATATATATATATATATAAACCTTGTGTAAATTAATTGAAACAAAACGAATAATTTTGTTATTATTTACTTTTT